ATCTTTGTGCATTCAAAATCTGCTAACACTCCAGCTTAGAAGTGCCACTTTTAGGAATTTAGGCAAACACGTACCTGAGTGTGGAAAGGTATATGGTGGAAACACCCGCAGAAGTGTCATTTGTAATAATTAACAACTGGAGAGACATTCAGGGCCATCCACCTGGCATTGCAGCCATCAAGTGCAGCGTGTCCACACTTTGGAACACTGCGCACCTAGCTGAAGAAAACCTTAAGATATTTTTCTTTATTAAATAGGCAAAGAAAGAATAATGTGTGCCCCTGACATTGTGATTGTTTAGCTGTTAAGAAGTAAAGACTCAGGGCTTCTTGCAGGCAACCTGGTGACAGCCACACCTCGCCAGCGTCCCTTGCCTGCAGTTGCATTTCTAGGAGTCTGTTCTCAGATTGGCTCCATCCTGTTTGAAATCACATCTGGCTACATCTGGACCTGTGTGTCCGTGTGTTTCTCTCGCCCTCTGGTCTGCATGTGTCCCCATGCTGTCCCTGGCTTCCTCTGCCATTGGGGCCTTCCTGTTCCCACTGGCCCTCCGCCCACCCAGCCCAGCACAGGGAATTCCGGATGCTGTGTCTCTGTTCTCTGTTCTGCATCCCAGCGGCAAGCCTGGGGCTGGAGCAGAGGGTGTCCCTGAGTGTCTGTGAGCATGCACAGGAGGCCAGGATGCCCAAGCTGTCCCTGAGTGGAACACCCTGAGCATTGGGATAGCTGGAGCCCAAGTCTCCCCCCATGTCTCACCTCCCAGCACAGCTGGGGCCTGCCACCTGCTAGGAGTCAGTGTGAGTGCTAGAGCAATGAACATGGTGGACATGGCCATGCTGGGGGTGCGGAAGGGGTGAGCTGGGGGAGGCGTGAGTGAGTGGATGAGTGAGTGAGGTGCGTGGGGCTTTTGGGGTTTTAGAGACCACCCATGTGTGTTTTCTGCCAGGGCTCCCCACTGCACCTTCCTTTCCTGGTTGCTTTTCCTGGTGGGTGTCTAGGCTGTGGCACGTGTTCCTCCTAGGAATTTTTAGCACAGCCTTGGGGCTGTGTTGAATTGGCTGGGCTGTTCGGCCCCAGGAGCAAAAGTCAGACAAAAAATACACCTGAGTGGGCAGGTATGGCTGGAGCAGAGGCTGAGGCTTGGGCGGACACCTGCTGCCGTAGGGCTGCTTGGTGTGGTCACACCGCAGACTCTGTGCTGCCTGCGCTGAGCCAGGTGTCTGGTGCACAGCTGCATTGCCGTGGTGTCTCGTTCTCACTGCTGAGCAGAACTCTCGAAGCGGATGCTGACCAGGGTCTTGTTTCCAGGTACACAAAGCCAGGCTTGCCCCACTGATCTGAGAACAGGGACTGGAGGAGTTGTGGGAGGTGGAGGAGGCGGCTGTGAAGTTCTGGAAGGCACCTGGCAGGGAGGAGAAGGAGGCAGGGCCAGGCAGCATGGTGAGGGTCTGGGGACCCCAGGTCGGGGGTTGACGGGCTCTGAAAGGTAAGAGCCCCGTGGCTGCATACCTGTGACATTTGGGCCAGTGTCCCAGCCTCGTGTCTGTGGCCGTGTAGAAGGTGGTGTGGAGTGGAGAAGGGAGAGGCCCACCCCCAAGGCAATGTCCTGGCAGAGAAAAAGAATTGTAAGATCTCTCCCCACTTTAGAGACAAAAGGGCACCGTGAGAGCATCCACCTCCCTTGCGGTTTGTTCCCTGCTGTTGTGTTGTTGGAGCAGAGGTGACCCCGGAAGGGATCTGGGGCAGCTGCCTTTGTCTGCATCAAACGGATGCGGCCTTGGGCTGGAGAGCCTAAACGTGCATGTACTGGCACATAGGAAGCCCCATCGGGAGGTCCGGCTGACACACTGCACTCTGCCCAGGCGCTGCCGACCCGTATCTGTGGAAATGGGGTGGTCTCTCTGTGTGGCCTCCGCTGGGGGATGTGGCTCTACAGGGACACCTTGTTGGTCAAGCACCTCCTGACAGTGGCTTTGGCGTCCCTGGTGGCCCTGCCTGAAGCACCTGTCTCATGGGAGTGTTTTCCTTGATGACCTCACAGCAGCGTCCAGAATGCTCAGGACCTGGTCCTGGGAGGGCGCTCCTGGGTTAAATGAGACGAGAACGTCAGGGTCACCAGGGCAGTGCACAGACCACTCTGATTCCAGTTTGGGGGCTTTTTGGGAAATGTGGATACGACTGTTGCATGACGCTCTGCTTCTTTTGGTACCTATATATGTAGAAGTTGGCCGTCCTCAGCTGCACTCGTGGTGGGCAGGCGGGAGAAGGGCTTTCGCTCCTAGGAGGCACCTGCAGAGGCCCCCGGGGGAAGCGCCGCCATGTAGTACAACACTGAATTTCAAATGGTTCCACAGAAACCAGAATAAATGTTTTAAAAAACAAACCTTTTATCATGGAATTAATGACATCTGGTTAATCTGGGTGGTGGGATCCCTGCTGTCATTCATTCTACGATAAAAGTTTCTTTAATCCCCCAGCTATGTCTCTGGAAAATACGCTGAGAGGAAGGATCCCATCCACTTATTTAGACAAACTGCTGAGGCGTGTCCCCAGGCCAGAGAGCGCTGCCTCGCTTGGCACCTGCCCGACCTGGGCTTTCGCCCGCAGCCTGCGCACTGGCGCTCCCGTGTGTGTGCGGCTCAGGTGCCTCATTCAGGGCCTCCCCGTGGTGCGGCGCTGGCTTGGTTCACCTCCATTCCCTCGTGGATGGATATTTAGGTGGTTTTTAATTTTTCATGGTAACAAACAGTGTCGCTTTCGTACATGCGCCGGAGACTTTTCAGCACTGCGGATGGCAGGGTCCAGGAGGGCCTCCCACATGGTAAGGTACGGCCCCGCCTCTTCCCAAAGCAGTGGTGCCAATCCCCCAGTTCCACAGCCTTTTCTTCCGGGACAGGTGGGGTGTGAGGTGCCTGGGGTTCCTGTCGGCAGGACCCTGCCTTCCAGGGGTGCCGATGTCTCAGGTTCCAGGGCCGTTTGGGCCACTGCGTGGGAGTAGCCTGTCCATGCCTATTTCCTCCTGGGAGTTTATGCCTTTGTCTCATTGAAATCTTCTCAGTCCAGTGTCTTCTCTCACACCGTGGCTTCCTTTTTCACTGGTTTTCTGCTATGGTCTTGTGGCATAGAGAGGTTAGTGTCTGTTTATGGAGTCAAGTACATCGGCGTTTTCTTGAACTCTTGCTCTCCGTGTCTCATTGGAGAAGTCTGTCATGCATTCAACTGTCTGCTGGTGATGGTCCCTGCAGCCCAACATCCCCGGGCAGGCCCGGTCAGAGGGGAGAGGGACCAGAGCAGGAACGTCCAGGAGCCCCGCCGCATGGCCCCACCGGGAACGGAGCCTGGAACCGGGAGGAGAGGAGGGCAGACCAGGGACTCTGTTCCACCGTCACCTGGGCCCTGGGATTGGTCACTCACGAATAGCAGAGGTTTCTTGGACTCCCTGTCTGCGAGGGACCCACCCCAACAGCCCCCCCAGGGAGGGTACCTGTTGTAGAGCCGGGCTCCCTCCAGCCACTATGACTACTGGTCATGTCTCTGGGTGCTGTCCCCACGGAGGTGATACAAAGTGCACGACGCAGGCCAACTTAGGGCTGCCTGACATCAGTGCGGACAGCCATCGCCAGCTCAGACCGTGCGCTGGGCTTGAATGCGTGGGGAGGGGGCAGTGATGCTGGCCGCACGGATGGTGAATCAGTCAAAGCAGAGAGGTGGGGACTTGGTGCTGTGCACAGAGCAAGATGGGGGAGCTGAGGTCCCCAGAGACAGACACCAAGCACCCCAACAGACACCAGAGCAGGAGCTCATGGGGTCACCAGGTGAGGGACCTACGGCAGGTTGGGCAAGCCCAGCAGAGCAGGGGCCGTCCCTATGCCTCTGGGCAGGGTGGGAGGAGGAGAGGCCTGAGCTGGAGCCGTGTGGACCCCTGACCCAGGTCGGGGGAGCAGAGCCACAGGGCCTTGAAGAACCTGGCCAGGTCTGCCCTGGGAGAGATTAGGGACAAGCCTTGAAAATCACAAGTCACGCACCTAAAAGACATGCAGGACGTGCATTTCAGGGGCAGGGGGCGGCGGGCCTTGGGGAATGTCCCAGTCAGCAGCAAGCATTCCACCCCTATCCCATCCCTCCACCCACCCCATGATGCTTTTGTCTCCATCAAGATCCTTGGGGAATGCTGCATGTCCTTCCACCTACCCCATGATGCTTTTGTCCCCATCGAGCCCCTTGTCTCCTGTGCAGGTGCAGCACCCCTCACTCTCCCCTTGCGTTGCTGCTAAACGGGCAGAACCCTCCAGTGGGTGGCACACAGGAGCAGTGACCAGGTCCAGAGGCTACGGTGCCCGGACCCCAGACCAGCTTCCCGGCAGGTGACTCTGCAGGGTGAGCTCTCCCAGGTGGCACAGTGGGTAGGATGATCCTGGGACCTGGAGAGTCCCACAGCCCAGGGCACGGCAGTGAATGACCAGGTTCAGGAAGACCCAGGCATGGGGACTGAGCCAGTACTGAGCCTTCCTGGGCATGGCCATGAGTCCCACCTGGTGACCTCCCTGGAGGAGTTAGGCCACTGTCCCCTGTGACTTCTAGGTTCAGTCACTCACTCCTAGAAACAGTCACGGCTGGAGGAGACCAATGTCAGCTCAAAACCGTGTGTGCCCCCAGGAGCACAACAGGAAAAGAGAATCAGGTGACCAAGGAGAGTTTATTCGGGAGCAGGAGGAGGTGCTGACAGGCTCAAGTTGAGGCCAAGTGACCCAGTGCAGAGAAGCTGGGAGGGAGGACAGGGGACCCAGCAGGCAGGTGGGCACCTGCTGGGAGGCAAGAGCTGGGGAACAGCGACGATGGAGGCTCCTGGGTGTAAAGAGGGGGAGGTCACCTCAGCACAGGGGAGACACGGGGACCCCGTCTCAGGTAGGGGCAGCCACCTAACCCAGGTCGGGACCTGAGCCGGCTGGCCCTAGTGGATGTGCCCATCAGCAGCTAGACTCCTGGCCTGAGAAGAGGGCTCAGCAGGCTGGGCAGGAGCATGCAGGGTGGCAGAGGAGAGACACGCAGGAGGCTGGGCGGCAGCAGCTGGGCTGGCAGGAGGAGGCAGGGGCACAGCAGGAGGAGATGGGCACGCAGCAGGTGGACCTGCACACGGGGCGGCAGAGAAGGGACACGCAGGAGGAGGGTCTGCAGCAGGAGATGGTGCAGCAAGCCGGCTGGCAGCTAGACTTCTGGCAGCATGAAGAGGAAGACTCTGAGCAGACGGGCACGCAGTAGATGGGCTTGCAGCAGATGGGCACACAGCAGGCCTGTTGGCATGGGGAGGAGGTGCA